TGTTGAGGTGAGCCCGACTATACAGTATCTAGTCGATACCTCTCAACCTCCCGCACAAGCTCAGGCTCCTTCCCCACCAGAGAGGTGACATTCCATGTCCCAAAAGCCAGTTTTGTCAGCCGGGGATCGGACCGCCAGGGCCTCCCTTGGCCGCCACCCGATCCACAAAGCACCGAACCCCTGACATTCCCCCTGCGGATGGTGGGCCAACCTGGGGACAGTCCCGCGTGCCTCTTTCGGGCTATGCCCGGCTGGGCCCCACACATGAAATTTAACATAGATAAATGTAAGGTAATCCATGCAGGGAGCAGAAATATAAAGTACAGATATTGTATGGGATATTGTATGGGTTCCACTGAAATAAAGGTAACTGATTATGAGAAAGACCTCGGTGTGTGTTGCGGTGAACGTTATTCCCACAAGTGGTCACGTCATTCACGCAAGCGGTCATGTGGAACCAATAATTACTCACCTGTGTGCACCCGAGAGGAAGACAGTAACGGACGCACCTGTTCTTCATTTTGGATAAAGCCGGCAAAACGCCATCGTAGCGCGATAAGCAAAGGGTCAGATCTACATCAAGTATTCCTGGAACTGTGCTATGATTGTGTACTGAAAATCAGACTCTGAACAGACAGCCGGTAAGACCGAGAACCACGCTTGTTGCAGACTTTGCTGCAAATGCTATTTGTAGCGAGCGCTACCTGTTACGAGTGGTTTCATTTCTTAAATGGTATGCGCTAATGAGGTATTGAGGTGCTGGTGCTGGCTCGTAGCATTATATGATTTGTAGTGTTTGACTGCATTAGAAATAGCATTGTGATGATTCATTCATGGAGCGTAGTATTGATTTGTTTGGTATTTTTTGAAGTGGTGATCCAATTTGCTTAATGGTGTGCTTTAAGTGTCCCAGTTTCAATATGTGGAATACTGTTTCATTGATTATCAGATGTTTGCATTAATATGGTTTAAAAGGGAGGTTTTCTATTTTATATGTAGTTATCTAAAAAATTTAACATTTAATTGCTAAAAAAGTATTAAGGGTGAACTTTCCTTTTAATAATTCATATGGGTAGAAGCGTTACATCTATTGTTTAATTGATTAGCTTTTTTTATTGTAATTCATTGTGCTGTGTAACTTATTCATGCATTTCTCCAGTAGTTTAATTTTAAACTTTGATGTTTGGATGAATTTCATTCAGAACAAGTTATGTAAAATTTTGTGGAAATTTAAAGCTGAGATTGGTTATTTATTGTATATTTTGTGTTTTTATATATATATATATATATATATATATGCATTTAAAGTAAACCTTTGTGCTTGCTCATAAGATTGGAATAGATTGGTGAAAGTTGGTGTTTTTTGTTTTAAGGTTTTTCACCTGTAAATGCCTGACTTAAGAAAAGTGAAGACAAAATAAAAAAGGGATAAAGAGCCCAAAAAAGGCCTGGTTATTCCGAGTGAAACCCAGTTATATGTTCAGCTTTGGTACATCCCTATCAAGTGAGGGGTAAAGCACAGCAAGAATCGTGATCACTTGACAGTGTGTATGTTGATGCTTCCATGTCTCATTCTCGCCAGTGCGGGGAAGCAATAAAAAAGGCCAATAGGATGTTGGGTTACATCTCTAGGTGTGTGGAGTTTAAGTCAAGGGAGGTGATGCTATGATTACAATTCCTTGGTAAGACCCCACCTAGAATATTGTGTACAGGTTTGGTCACCATACCTTAAAAAGGACCTTGCTGCCTTGGAAAAGGTTCAACGTAGGGCTACAAGAATGATTCCTGGTCTTAGAGGAATGTCTTATGAGGGGAGGTTAGCTGAGCTGAATCTGTTCAGCCTCGCACAAAGGAGATTAAGGGGGACATGATCCAGGTATATAAGATTCTAACAGGTCTCTGTGCTGTTCAGCCAAATGGCTGCTTTAATATTACTTTAAATACTAGAACTCGTGGCCATAGGTGGAAATTAGCGGGAGAACATTTTAAACTGAATTTGAGAAAACACTTCTTTACACAGCGTGTAGTTTGAGTATGGAGTTTTTGTTGGTCAAACGCGCAATGTCACTTCGCTGCCTTAAAAGAGCAACACACCTCCAGACCACACCTCATTCAAAAAATGCCACTTCTGCGAGCGGAAAGCAGGCACAATTTTGACGACGTGCGTGTATTGCGTGAAAATTAGAAATGTGCTGGTACAAATCTAGCCAAACCACTTTATGCCTTTAGCATTGCACTTTATGCCGATAGAAAATAGAGCCCACTGTAGACCAAAGTGTACCGTTGAGTGTCCCCCTTATGTAGGAGTTATGGAGAGTACATGTACTGTGTATTGAAGTACAGAATTATAATCTGCCACTGGATAATAGTCCATATATGATGAGAGGATGTCTATTGAATAACTTGGTGTTCATCACATGTGTATAAACTAATGGCTGCCTCAGCTGTATATTTAATGTAGGAATAAGTGTGTGACTCTTCTGGCAGAAAAGAAGCAGTACCGTGAGTCATACATCAGCGATGCCCTAGAGCTGGACATGGACCACCTAGACAAGCGCTCCCGGGCCAGCGGCAGCAGCACTGGAAGCATTTCACGGCACATGTGCCTTTCCCGCCACTCCATGGTTAGCCACGGCAGCTCTCACACGTCAGGCATTGACACAGACAGTTTCCGCAAGCTTGGGCAGCCTCTGCGCCACCCGCTGCAGACCTGCGGCAGCTCCATCAACAGCCATGAGAGCTCGCACACCTCCGGGATAGACAGTGGGGGTAAAGAGCAGGCCCTCGATGATGATGGTGAGCTATTACATCCAAAACACACTCACAGATACACTGCAGCCACATCTGCTGATGCTTTAGATTTATTTCAAGAGTTTTTGGAAACTCTTTTTATGAATGCTGTGTCTATAAGAACCTATGAACACATTCATATCACTATTAGGAACATGGCTATACATATTTACAAAAAGGCATAACATAATGAACATAACTTTAATGTATTTTGAATGCTTTATGAAGCTCTCATTTACAATGCACTATAGAAACCTTCATAATGCAGAACATCTTATTCTTCTTTTCAACTATTACAATGCATTATGTAGGTAATTAAAATGTGTTTTAGATGACAGCTTCAAGTAAAGTATTACTGATTTATTTTCCTTTTTATTATTTTAGTATTAGTATTATTAATATTATTGATATATTTTTTCTGCATCTTCACAAAAGAGATTTGAAAATGTGGTGCTCTTTGTATGGGATGGTGTCGTAGAACCATTACTTCACACCTTCAGGATGTGGGTTTAATTCCTGCCCCTGGTCCTCTTTGTATAGACCCTGCTTGTTCTCTCCAAGGTCGTGTGGGTTTGATTCTTGCTCCTGGTCCTCTGTGAATGGACACTGCATATTCTGTCCATGGTTGTGCGGGATTGATTTCTGCCCCTGGTCCTTTGTGTATGGACACTGCATGTTGTCTCCATGGCCATGTGGGTTTCCTCTGGGTGACAGCTTTCTCCCAAAAACTTCCAGTTAAGATGAATATGGTCTCTAAATTGCCCGTCATGTGTGTGAGTGTGTGCAGTGGATCCCTTGGATAGGCACCAGGTTCATCGCAGCCCTTTACTGGATATTTGGTCATTAGGTGGATTTTAGATATACCAAACTGCTATTTATTTATTTTTCTCTTATTCCAAATTAAGAAGTTGAAATGCTGGTTGATGACCCCATGGATTATGAAGGACTCCATGAATTATCTCTGAAGCTCACCCAAGACATGGTCATACACATTACAGAGGAAATGCTATTGCCTGGTTACTCAGGTGTGTAGATCTGTTTAGACATATTTAGTATTATTATTTAGTAATTCTTGAGAACAGAATGGATACTAAATAGTAACCACACCAGATTGAATTATTTTGTACAATAATTTATTTAATCTTTTGCTTAATTTATAGTGGACACTTGTTTTTGAAGTTTGTTGAATTAAGCCACAGAACTAAAATTTTGTCCTTTTTATACCAGGTCTCATTGTGAAGGATATTAATTCTTCTACATCCAGCTCCTCAGAGACAGTAGTCAAGCTACGTGGGCAGAGCATTGAGTCCCTTCCTCTGGTGAGCCAAATTTATAATCCTATTGAGAAAGTGAGTTTTTTTTTATTAACTATATATCTATTCACATAATAAGTTGTAACTGATATTCATGCAGTCCATATCCTTATGGTAGTTTTTTATACTGTGTCACATTTTGTCTTAGGGAGAATAATAAGAAAAGTGTGTAGTATGCCTTCTCATTGCACCTGTTCTGATTTTCTTATCTGCATCTTATTGTGTTTTTAGACAGTGGGTAGAAAATCACAGTCATCAACTGACCGCCACAGTCAATCGCTGGATGATGTGCGGCTGTATCACAAGGGCTGCCAGCAGTGGGCAGAATCATGCCAGGACACGGCACAGAGTTACACATTTGGTTGTGACCAGGACCTTTGTGATGGTGGATACCATGGGCTTGCAGAGCAGGGCCCTGGTGCACGTGATGATCACGTCATTCCAATTAAAAGGACCAGCAAGTACTTCTCCTTGGATCTCACCTGTGATGAAGTGCCAGAGTTTGTAGTATAATGACTGAGCTGGCTCACCAGATGCAGAAAGGGATGCAAGAAGGTGGAGCATGCAGAGTGATAGAGGCTGGGATAGAGCAGGTCATACTCTTCCTAAAAAATTAAACCAAACAAGAGAAGATTAGGGTCATGTCTAATTTCCACCATGTGTCCATGAGTCATAAGCCAGGTTTGTGGTTCATGTACATGATGAGCACACAACATGAATGATATTTTTGACACGGCTGCTGTTGAAATGCATACAGTAGATATATTGCCAGCATCATTTAAAAAAATATGGAAATTTCCTTCATGGCTTACAGTATGTTACTATAAACACTGTTATACCGTCTTATAGCTAGGTTCCTGATAGAACTATTAACAGTGACAGTGGCCAAAAGCATTTCCTGCCTTAGATAGCATCTAATGTGATACATTTGCAGCTCTGCAAGGCTGCTAAAAAACAAACAGCACTCTTGTCTACTTTTAGCAGTAGGAACACAAGCATGAAGCTTCTTGCTTGTCATCATGTGATCAACAATGGATGCCACAACCAATTTCACATATGCAATGAAAAAGGAGAGTCATCTATTATCCAAGACCTGGGTGAGCTAAAAACCAAACACAGACTTTTCTGAATCTGCTTTGTGAAAATAAACTTCAGAACATTTTAATTAAAACCTTATAAAATTTGAAGGCATACTAAATCCCTGTGAAACCTCCATAACTATGCAGCATGCACAAGCGCAATGTCATACTCTTCAAATTGCACAGGCTAATGAGAATGTGTTTTGTGTACATTTTGATGATTTGATGGATGGTTTCCACTTTTTTTTTGTAACCTGTCATTTGACTGACTAATATTCTCCCCTATCATTGCAGTGTAATTTGACAGCTTTGCATAGGCCTACTTTTACTGAAATGTATGGTTTTGTTTGCAGGAAGAGAAATCCTGTAAGAATGAACTTACTCAAAAGCATTTTGTGCCTTTTAAAACATACTTGCCTTGACAATCACAACCTATTTAACTGAAAATAAGCAAGAAACAGAAATTATTCCAATAATTTAATTACTACTACTATTTCAATGAGTGCAATGACTATGAAAGGGCAGGCAATTTTATAATTATATTATTATACTTAATATGTTATGAATCTGTCCTTGGTTCATATCCAAAAAATTGCACGATTAGCTGCTTTTCAAACTAGTTCAGTAGGTTTTGTATGTCCCTTGAGGACTATATGTTCTTACATGTTGCATGATACTTTAAATCAGATGCCAAAAACAGAGCAATGAACAAAACCAAAAGCATATATCAACAAGACAGATAAAGCTGGTAAAACATTTAAGATTCTTGTTGAGTTTATTGTAAATTACAGAACATGTTTATGCAAGAAATATAATTGGAAGTTGTTACTTGTTTATGTTTTTAATACATTATTATTTAATACAATATTTTTTCATCGAATCATATTGTATGGTTATAAACATATTGTTTTTATTTGCCAGTATTACAATGTAGACGACAGTATTAAGATGTGTCATATTGCAATTTGCCCTTTTTTATTCTGATGCTTTTATTTTACGTTTTATAAAAATAAATATTTTTAAAACTGCATTATCATGACTTGGCTCTCAGCATTGTCCATTATTCAACTCGGCATTTTTTACTGTTTTCTTTGTAAGGCTGGACATTTAATAATAATAATAAAAAAAGAATATAGCATCCTGTAGTAAAATACCAAAAAAATGCATAAATACAAACCAGATGTTAAACATCTGGAATTTTTGACTTAGGTAGATTATTGTGGATGTAGCATTACTGTATATGTTTAAAATATAACTTCACTCCCTGTATGCAATAGACTTAATAAATGTTCAGCTTCGTATACCATAACCTGATATCTGCACAATTCCACATTTCCAGTAAGTAAATGTATGCAAACAAGGACAAGTAAAAAGCAATAAAATGTCTTTTTTACATGTGAACTATCATGTTTCCCCTGTTGGACGACAAATAAATATTATTTGCCTAATGTCTTTTTTGTATTTTTTTATAGTTTAAAAAGTGAATTAATAAAATGTTTATCATATCGATTTAGAAGATAAATCAACATCTATCCATCTGACCATCTTCTATGCTGTTTATTCAATGCAAAATGAGCCTGGACTGATCACAGGAAGCACAATTCAATAATTTTTTTATATAGCACCTTTCAAACAAAGTTGTCCCAAAGCGCTTTACAAGGATGTGTTGTGATACATAAAACATCACTATAGAGAGATACAGAATTGGGAAAAAGGAAGGAAAGAAATTAAAGAAACCCAGAAGACAACAGAAGAGAGGAACCAAAAACACTCAAGTAAGGAGAAAAAAAAACCTGAAGTCCGTGGGGGTACTAACATTACTGAAAACAGAAAAGAGTGGACATGTTTGCAAAAGGTAGGTATAAGCTGTGATTAAGAATGAAGACAAAGTCCATCAATGAGTCTGTTATCCATATTATCCAGCAGGGAGGTGATGTCAAGCCGGTGTTGGTGCTCCTTCAGATCGCCAGGCAACCAGTAGTAAGGCAGCAGTAGTAAGGGCATACATGGAGGATGACACAGGCAGAACGGCGAGCAGGATGCAAGGACATCATGGGTAGTGGTGACGTCACATGTAGCAGGGTGTGCAGGATATCTTGATAAATTGAGGTCTCCAGGCAGCACACTCTAGGAGAAGTAAGGGAAATAAAATGTGCAATTAGCCAAAGTAGGGGAGACTAGAGACAGTGCTAACAGTTAGGTGAATGCAGTATGTAAGCTCCGGCAGATATGGCTATGGCAGCATAGGAGGGAGAGGCAAGTGAGAATACAGGCATGAGGAGTCCCTGAAATGTCAGCACTCCAATTCTACAAGGGATTGTGAAGCTAGAGTAACAGCACTGGCAGTTCAGTTTATCCAAAGCCAATGGCACCGATCCCCACCCAGTTCTACACCTCACACTATAGGTCTAACTGGGGCGTGAGCAATTAGCTAGAGCTAGAGTGCCTATAGGCTAAACTAAACAGGTGTGTTTTTAGTCTAGACTTGAATATTAAGAGTGAGCCTGAATCCCGCACATCCGGTGGAAGACAAATTCCACAGCTGAGGAGCTCTATAAGAGAAAGCTTTGCAGCCAAACAATGACCCATTATGGAACTGAACTAAGGCAGGAACTTAAATACAGAAACTGAACCGGGTAACGATGCAGCAGGAGTGAGACATGAGACAATTAGCCAATCAGGGAAGGTGCAGGACAACGAGCAATCAGGAAACACACAAGGATCGGCACAAGAACAGGCAACAAGTAAAACTAGCAATTAACTCAAGGAACTGGGAGATCATACAGGGAACCAAAGAAACTGGCAGAAACACAAGGAAACAGAATCTAATGGGGAAAAACAAAGACAGGTGATTCACACCCAAAACATAAAGCAAAAACCAAAACAAACCACAAACTCAAGGGAACTAGAAACTGATAAATGAAACACTAGGGATACAAAATCAGAGGAGGTAGGATTTGAATACATGACAGAGGGGATTACAAGTTGCTGCATGCACTATTGATAATGAGTTATTGATAACTGATAATGAGCTATTGAGCTATGTGACTGTCTAGGGAGCAGGGGAAGCAAAAAAGACTGACAAAGGGGATGACAGGATGGCCAGCGACACCTGCTGGACAAATGAGGAGAAGACATGAAAGACTCGGACAGATGGGTGCAGACCCTGACAAATATATCTTACATTTACAGCATCTGGTAGACCGCCTTAGCCTGAGCATTTTACATACACACGTGGACAAAATTGTTGGTACCCTTCGGTCAATGAAAGAAAAACTCACAATGGTCACAGAAATAACTTTAATCTGACAAAAGTAACAATAAATAAAAATTCAAGGAACTTTAACCAATGAAAGTCAGACATAGCTTTTCAACCATGCTTCAAGAATTATTTAAAAAAATAAACTCATGGAACAGGCCTGGACAAAAATGATGGTACCCCTAACTTAATATTTTGTTGCACAACCTTTTGAGGCAATCACTGCAATCAAATGATTCCTGTAACTGTCAATGAGACTTCTGTACCTCTCAGCAGGTATTTTGGCCCACTCCTCATGAGCAAACTGCTCCAGTTGTCTCAGGTTTGAAGGGTGCCTTTTCCAGACGGCATGTTTCAGCTCCTTCCAAAGATGCTCAATAGGATTGAGGTCAGGGCTCATAGAAGGCCACTTTAGAATAGTCCAATGTTTTCCTCTTAGACATTGGGTGTTTTTAGCTGTGTGTTTTGGGTCACTGTCCTGTTGCAAGACCCATGACCTGCGACTGAGACCAAGCTTTCTGACACTGGCCAGCATATTTCTCTCTAGAATCCCTTGATAGTCTTGAGATTTCATTGTACTCTGCACAGATTCAAGACACCCTGTGCCAGATGCAGCAAAGCAGCCCCAGAACATAACAGAGCCTCCTCTATGTTTCACACTAGGGACAGTGTTCTTTTCTTGATATGCTTCATTTTTCTGTCTGTGAACATAGAGCTGATGTGCCTTGGCAAAAAGTTCCATTTTTGTCTCATCTGTCCATAGGACATTCTCCCAGAAGCTTTGTGGCTTGTCAACATAGTTTGGCAAATTCCAGATTGGCTTTTTTATGATTTGTTTTCAACAATGGTGTCCTCCTTGGTTGTCTCCCATGAAGTCCACTTTGGCTCAAACAACAACGGATGGTGCGATCTGACACTGATGTTCCTTGAGCTTGAAGTTCACCTTGGATCTCTTTAGAAGTTTATCTGGGCTCTTTTGTTACCATTCGTATTATCCGTCTCTTTGATTTGTCATCAATTTTCCTCCTGTGGCCACGTCCAGGGAGGTTGGCTACAGTCCCATGGATCTTAAATTTCTGAATAATATGTGCAACTGTAGTCACAGGAACATCAAGCTGCTTCGAGATGGCCTTATAGCAGTGTTTCTCAACCCAGTCCTCAGCGAACCCCAGCCAGTCCACGTTTTTGCTCCCTCCCAGCTCCCAGCGCACCTGTACCAGCTATTCGGTGTTCCTGATTGGCTGGGAGCTGGGAGGGAGCAAAAACGTGGACTGGCTGGGGTTCGCTGAGGACTGGGTTGAGAAACACTGCCTTATAGCCTTTACCTTTAACATGCTTGTCTATAATTTTCTTTCTAATCTCCTGAGACAACTCTTTCCTTCGCTTCTTCTGGTCCATGTTGAGTGTGGTACACACCATGTCACCAAATAACACAGTGACTACCTGGAGCCCACTGACTGATTACAAGATTGTAGACACTGTTATGCTAATTAGTGGACACACCTTGAATTAACATGTCCCTTTGGTCACATTATCTTTTCTAGGGGTACCATCATTTTTGTCCAGGCCTGTTTCATGAGTTTATTTTTTTTAATAATTCTGTTGAAGCATGGTTGAAAAGCAATATCTGACTTTCATTGGTTAAATTTCATAGAATTTTTATTTATTATTACTTTTGTCAGATTAAAGTTATTTCTGTGACCATTGTGAGTTTTTCTTTCATTGACCAAAGGGTACCAACAATTTTGTCCATGTGTGTAAGTGCTTAGAAGTCTCAACAGTGAATACATTCTGATACTGGTTCAACAGAATCTGGTTAAGTATACTGTAACTCTAAAAAACTCAGTTGGTAAGTAATAGATTTTTTTAATAATAAGAGTATAATCCTGGAAGTGTTAATTCAAGTACTTCCGAAAAAGGCAAGTCTTTAGTCATCGCTTGAAGGCACCTAATGACTCAGCTGTTCAGACATCTTAGGGTACTTCATTCCACCACATGGGTGCCAAAACAGAGAAGAGTCTAGATGCATGTCTTCCTTGTGCCTTGAGAGATGGTGGGACTAATTGAGCAGTGCTGGAGGATCAGAGAGAGCATGGCGCATTGCGGGGTGAGATAAGTACTTTTAGATAGGAGGGTGCTGGTCTATTTTTGGCGAGCATCAGTGTTTTGAATCTGATGCAGACAGTTACAGGAAGCCAGTTGAGGGAGTGTAACACTGGTGTGGTGTAGGAGAACTTGGGAAGGTTCTGGATCAGTTGCAGAGGTCGAATGGTGCCAGAGGCAGATCAGCTAGGAGTGAGTTACAGTAGTCTAGTCTTGAGATGACAAGAGATTGAGTGGCCTGTGTGGAAAGAAATGGATGAACCTTTGTAATGTTGAAGAGGAGAAATCAACATGAGCGGGAAAGATTAGCAATGTGAGAGGAAAAGGACAGATGATTGTCCATGGTTAACCCCAAGGTTACGGGCGGTGAACACAGATCTATGTCGAGTAGTGATTTCTTCTACTGCCTCTCAACTGCTCTTAATTCTCTTCGATTGATACGCAACAAATCCAATAGCCAAGAAGCAAAGCAAGTTATCTTCCTGGACTTGGAAGATAGTGGGTAGAGGCGGTCCATGGATGAGGAAGTGAGCAGAGAAGAGTGCTGGTTGTTGACTACAGTGGGACATAAAGGATTCATGGTCCGGAAGGTATGATAGAGTGCAGGATACAACATATGAAGGGGAGACAGAATAGAGGTTTTAAAGAGTGGGGGAGAAATATTCATAGCTGAGTTTAGACAGGATAGGTAGGTGATGGTAAAGGATACAAAGTGATGATTAGAGATGTGAAGAGGGGTAGTGATAATGTCAGAAGCTAGAGAAAGACAGCTGAAGACCAGGTCCAGGGCATTTCCTCCTTTGTGCGCAGGAGAGCAGTTGTCAGATGGAAGGAATAGAGAAAAGGGAGGAGGCAGGAGGAATTGAGCTTATTGGGGGATGGTCGAAGTCTCCAACCCTGTGACATGCATAGGTGTGGGTCATGAGGCAGTCCCCTCTTACCCCAGGGGGGTATTCCAGAAAGCTTGGTTAACTTACCATTTGGTAAATCTTAACCTCTGGGTTGATAAAACCCCAAACCCGCATACCATGAGTATGCCGGTTCCAAAACACCTGAGAAGAGTAAGTTCAATCAACCTCCTATTGG